CCCATCTTTTAATTTGGAATTCCTTTTTCCGATCACTGTATATTTTTCATCATACCAAGAGGAAAAAAACTTTATGAACCTAGTTTTGTTTTTTTAAGAAAAACCGAGAAATCTTCCAGATAGTTGCAAGATTTTTAAAATGTAACATGCAACAATGATTTTTTCTGAAAGGAATTTTTAAACGTTTCTAATAAATATTTCTAAAATCTTAGAATTTAATTCGAATTCTATTCAAATACCAAAAACGATAATAAGTTGACATCTTTAACGATATGATCAATTAGCGAATGGAAATGAGATACAGCAAAAACGTGCGGGCAGTCAGTTTTGCCTTTTCGAATCCAGTAATTCAATGACGATGTTAGCAAGGAAAGTCCGGCCTCCTGAAAAATATTAATGAAAGTAGAATATACAATTATAACCAAAAAAAAGAAAAAAAAACTTTTCCTTTCAGCATTGTATTTGTTTATACAAGAGATCTGATTTGTCAGAAGAAAATAAAACTTAAATTGCTTATTGTTATGAAAGGATGTTAGCATCAGAAAAGTTATTGATCGATTAAAATTACGATACCATAACTGTTCCTTTACCAAATTCGTCAATCAGAATAAGCGAATTTCCAGTTCCACGTCGCAATGCCACAGCTATCTGAAAATCCTGGCGAAAAATCATCGCATTTGTATTCAAATACTTTGAATTTTATTATACAAAAAGTTATAAGTTTACCAGTTCCAGCATATTCCGATCAAATATAGTTTTAAATAACATCCAATCCATTTTAGCATGTAATCAAATAGTCAAATGAATGATATAGTTTAATCAATTAACCTGTGATAAATCAGTCGCAAATGTTGACATTCCATCCAAGACACAATCTAAGGTATGCATTCGTGTGATGATACGATCTACTGGCCCGATGATGGCACTTTTCGCTGGCACAAAGCTTCCAATATGCGCAAGAAATATGATAATTCCAATCTACATATAATTATCACTCAGTGTACTTTCAAATATCATTTTTCTTTTGCTGGTAACTAATAAGTTTAACAGCAAATGATTTCTAAAGAATAGCCTGAAAAAAAGACAATATTTACTGCACAGGACCATAAACTAAGCTATAATCTATATTGAATAATGCAGAGCTTATATTCATATTTTTCCGCATACTATTCATCGGCTGATTGAACCAAAAACAACACTAGTGCCTTAATTCATGAATTATAATATTTGTATTTGCTTAAACTGATATACCTGTTTCAGGTAAATACTTTTACCCGATGCGTTTGGTCCCATTAGAATTTTCACCTTTGTTTGCGCACCTCCAGAGCTAACAAAAAAAAAAAAAAAAGAACTTATTGTACATATACCGTTCTAATTGCTTTTGACCATAAATTAATACGCCTAATTATTTCCATAGAAAGTCCCTTGTAAGTATAATACACATTTCTACAAAGGATAATATTAATTTATTCTATTCAAAATACTATATTTTTAGGAAGAAATGAGAGCAATGAACTACTGAATCTATGAAATGAGGCATAGTACTTCAAAATAAAAATGATTTATCAAAAATAAATTAACTGAACTGCCCGAATTTTCAGAAATTTCAAAATTTGGACAATTTTCTCCTTACCGAATTGGATTTGGAATAAATTTATTCTTTGATAGCAATTCCATGATAGCATGTCTTCCACCATCTACGTCAATTACTGATTCATCTACGTAACGTGGACAATACCAATCATATTCACGAGCTGTTAGTGCAAGTGAAATGATGCAATCCAATGTGGCACAGATATAAATTGCTTGACGGATAGCTTTATCATGTCGGCAAATTAATTGTTTCAATCTATATTTTGATGAACTTGAAATTCTCTTATCATCATTGTCTTTTTTCATCAGAAACAAGGTTCTATGACACTTGTGGCAAAATTAAAACGCAACAAATGATTAACAAACGATCCAAAGAAAATCTTTGAGAAAATCTAAACATACAGTTAAATAAAGTGATCCGACGAGAAAGTTGAAAATTAAAAATGAAAAATGAAAGCTTTAGTTTAAGTGACACTTGGATGTTCATTTAGAATCTATGTTTCAACTTTTTTTTTTCACTTTTCATTCACTGATGAAGAAATCAATTTAAAAAACGCAGCACTGTTAAGTTAGTAACACTGCAACTGAACTCGTGAATTAGCATAACAGTAAAAATATAATTCTCCCGTACGTATGTATTTTTTTATAAACTGATTTTAAGTTCATTCATACAATGGAAATATATTTCACTTAAAATTATGGCATTTAAATTTTGAATATTACAAGAATTTTTGGAAAAAAAATGAAAATTAAGCAAAGGAAACCAACTTCAGCATTGCATTTGTTTCGATATCAATTATTTCCATCTTTATATCACCAATTTCTCGATCAAGTTGACGCATTCGTTCATTTTTTACATGTATTGCATCGTCCGTCTCATACAAAATTTCAATCTCATTCTGAAGAGATGACGGAAATGCCGTATTTTTTGGTACCACTAACAAATAGCCAAACATTGGTATGTAACATACTGATGATGGTACATCTGAAAAAAGGTTTTCTTTATAACATAAATTTTTTTTTTTTGCAATTCTTGAAATTTTCTCATGGGATGAAAAAAAAAATGAAATATTCCTACTCAAAGTTGAAAAATGAAATATTCCTACTCAAAGTTATAGCTTCCATTCTTGCAATATGTGTCAATGTTTCTGGTAACGATGCATATAATTTCTTTACTGAAAATTAGAATTTTTTACCAAAAAAAACATACATATGAACTTGGATTAGTAATAATACATTTGTGATTTCTTTTCTTTAAATTATGCCAAAAAATCATTTTAAGGATAAAAACGATATGGAAAATAAAGAAAAAATATAATATTTTTTGACTTCAAAAAAAAAAAACATTTCTATTAATTTATAATACAAAGTTTCCAGGAAAAGTATCAAAATTTGTAGATTTCACAGAATAACACTTTACATTGATCCAAATTTTCATCAACATTTGCATTTACGACAAATCGATTTTCCATAAATGATTCCGAAAAATTGACCTGTTAAAAAAAAAGACATAAGTCAAATTATTCGAAAAGTTATTTTATCTATTTGTTGTAAATCCATATGTCTGCATAAACATTTAATTCCGTTGATCAGGCAAAATCCATTGAATTATATTCTTTGAAAAAATTGTTGGATTTCATTTCTACCTATACAGTTTGGAATATTCTTAGCCTCTTGTTGTGGTTAGATTTTATACAAATTTATATAAAGAAAAAAGAAACTATATACAGGAGGATAAATTAACCTGAACAAAAGAAAATGAGAGCAACGTAAAAGTGACAAACTTACAACTTCAAAGATGACAGCTGTAATGCGCACAATATCGTTGCCAACCATTTTCATTTCATCATCAAGTAAAGTAAGCTTTATTTCTCGCGTTCTAACATAATCCATAATTTGTTGTGCTGCATTGCATGTCTTCGAATAAATAAATTGGCAGTTATATTTTATATAAATTTTATCAATAATGAATATAAATTCATATCATTAATCATACTATTGCAGTTGTATTTTCTCTATACCAAAGTCATAGCAAAAAAAAAAATTACTACAAGGATGTAAAAATTTAATTAAGTATTTAATGGTCACGGAAAGATTTGGAAAAGAAAAGAGTGAAGAAGTATATTGGAGCAGTAATAGTGACGATATTTTTAGCCTGAACATTCCCATTTCAGTCAATTACGATCTATATATGATTACTGCTTTCGTATGACATTATTTAACTAACACAATTTTTTTCCTGATAATGATTGGAATTTAATCAGTCATCTTCGTATTTATAGTAGCTTTCAAAATTTACAGCTTGTTAGTCGTAAACGTTGAAACATTTAGGAAAAAAAATTCATTGAAATTTAACGCCTTTTACTTTTTTTTTGTAAAAGCTACAACACTTTTTTTACTTTTTTTAGTTACTTTTTTTTTGCAAAAGCTACAACAAACAGTATAAATTAAACCGTATAAAGATTTCGCCAGTCATTAAGTGTTAGGCGCTGCGATTTCACTCGTTTAAGAATTCCCTAAAAATCATAAATGTCAATACAAATAATCAGGATCATACTAAAATCAAAGATCATAAATGCAAACGTATGAGTATTTTCAATTCTAATTATTTCAATAAATAAAACTAAACATTAACATTAAATAAATTATTTGCGTCTTCTGAGCATATATGATCACTTGCGAAATAGATTTAACCATTAATCTTTGCAGGAAAAAGATTGTGTTCTTAATTCACCCCGCTTACCGCTATCGCCAACTTTTGTCATTGATGGCTATGCAAAATAGTCATGAAATAGCAAAGGAAAATTTGAAAAAGATGACGAAAAGCATGTCGTACTTTTAAAATGCAAATTTTCTTTAGTCTTATTCGTATGAAATCAGCTGCATCCAAATTGCAATCTTGCGCGAAATAATGAATGGCTGTTACACGATTTGTCAATGTTTCGCGATTTGTCGTTGGTCGCTCAAACCAACGCCTAAAAAAAATTTTTTAAATTTTCCGGGAAAAAATATTTGCGAAATTCAAAAACCTCATCGGAATTTTAAATCAGAAAATAACACTACTTAATGTGAATTTCTGCAGAGTTTAAAATGATAATTTTCATTTTGATAATTTTCAATAATTTTCATACTGTTTTACTGAAAAAAGGAAGCAATTTGAATTCATCCTGATGAGCAGACTGCAAATGAATAGATTGATCCATTATATCAAAACACGTTCATATTTGACATTACGAAATTACAATGTTTGCTTTCAAATATTATTTATTATGAGAATAATTATTAATTACCAATTGTCATTAGAAATCCTTATTTATCATTAGAATTTCAAATTCTACTTCCTTTAAATTTTTACTATATGAGTGAAAAATACCGAAGTAAAGCTTCGCCGCTTTTTGATTGGCATCGATTACACATGCGAAACAAACTGATCCCTTCACGAGTATCACCAATCGAATATGCTTTGCAAGCTGATGGATGCAGTTCATCTTGGAAAATTTGCAAAGCACGTTTTGTGCTGCTATCTACCTGTACTATTTCCTCCCTGAAAAAAAAAAGCCTATGCAACCCTGAAAAAAAAGGCCTAGATTGCAAAATATTTGCTAAAAAACATTCGATGGATTTTGAATCTAAGAATAAACAAACAGTGTGATCGACTTGATAGCTGTAATGGGTGTTTTCGTATTGATATCTTCAAATTCTACACCTAACCGCACGGCATCCAAATATTTTAACAAAGCACCAAACGCGGAAATCTAAAAATTAAAAAATTAATTTAACTAAGACATTCAAGAAGGCCCTATAGGCATCAAGAATAAAAGATTAGTAAGATGTGGCATTCTTTTTACTGCGACAAAACTACTGCGACAAAGAAATAGGTCAGGTAATATTATCATACCGTTTAAATAATTAGTGAACCAGATTGATTGGAAATGCAAAGCAATATATTAGACATGAATTCAGCATTTACTTGTCCTGAATGCTGTCAATCACATAAGGTAACAACAATAAAATATTGGTTGGCTAACCATGTTCGTGGCTGTCAAATCGATTCGAAATGCTAATCGAAGGTTATTCTCTTCCTTAGTTAAATTCAACGATTCAAAAAGCGGCAAAATACGTTTCTTAGCATCCTCAAAATCTAAAAATCTATCAACCTGAAGAAAAAAAATCATACGAATAAACTAGAAAACACATTATTCTACATAACAATTTCGATAATTACTTGCTGGTGGATTGTTAATAGTAATTAGTTAGTTCTGATATCATAACGATTTCACTAATGACTCATCAATTAATAATTTAGGCGCCATAATGATTGATTTCTCAAGTTTTTAAAAAAAAAATGCAACCAACTGTAAGCAATATTTGGCATCAAATGCAATGCAATTATAGGTCTTTCTTCCTCGTCTTTTTCGTTATCATTTTCATCGACATTCTCGTCTTGTTTATCTAGTTCTTCTTGATTTACCACGGCATCCGGTTTAGTTGGTTGCTCCGGCATTGCGGTATCCATGCTATTTCTCTCACCAAAACCTTTTAAGAACAATCGATGAACAAACAAATTTTTTATACTAAATTTAAAGCCACATATTTTATTTAGTTACTTGAATTATGCAACAGACAAAGGAAAAACATAGTAGTGATAAAAAAATTTGCATTAATATATTAGATCAACATAAATTAATTGAATTCATTAATTCGGAAAGGTTATTGAACACTTACATAGCTTGTTAAGTTTAGCGAGAAGATTGACATCTTGCATTTTACTAACAATCACAATGGATGGTTCCAGTTGTAATAGTACTATAATAAACTATGGAAAAATAAAAGAAGTTAGATTAATTCATTTTTTTTTTAATCAAAAAAATCTTGTAAAGTCAAAATTTTCGAATCAAACTTCTAAAATTTATTTTATCGTTTTAAATTCAAAAACAACTGAAATATTTCAGGATTTCTTCCATTAAGTTTTATGCATTATCATTCGTGCTGAAAATAAATTCGCTAAGGAAACCAAACTGAATTCTATGAAACAGTAATTTCCAAGGCTTCAAACCAGTGATCAGTTATTTAAAAGAAGAATTTCAGTTTACATTCATTTGGAGTCCTAATTTTGATCAATGAATCTAGGGAATTATGATCGTTTATGAGTTTGGCAAATGCATAAAATATCATTATATTTCCCATCTGATCATTTGATGAAACCAGTTAAATAGCTTCAACTTCATAATTTTTCAGCATAAATTCATAACACTCTTAAACATCTTTGATGGTTTAATATCTTGTGTTTTAAAAATTTTCAATTCTCATTTTTCCCAAGTATTTCAAGTAATTTAAGATTCAATGTATTAAGAAGGAATTAATTAAAAACTTAGTAATTACGAAAAAACGAACACAGGTTGGCAAAAATATAACTCGAGAATAACTATTACCTGGAACTGTTTTATTTCAAAACATATTTTGAGCTCTTATCAAGTTGACAAAAATTAAAGAACAAAAGTTTTGCATAATTTAAAAAAGAATTAGTCGGAAAATTTCAGGAGACTTACAAGAATCTGCCATCCGAAAATCATCTTCATCCTCTAACAGATCGGTCAACACAAATATTGTGGCTGTTTCTTGATCATAACATGCAGCGCCTAGTTTATTCCGATTATAATGCACTGATAAAACTTTGGTTGACATCTGGAAAACATACAAATTGGAATATTCAAAAATTACAAATTAAAAACTAGTTTTGCAATCCCCAATTAAATTTCAAAATAAATTTGCAACAAAAACTTATCGAAATATTGTTTGGTAAATATTTTAGAGCAATTTTAAAATTTAAAGTTATTTCATTAAAAAAAAATACTTTCTTGATGGACTTTCATCCTTTTCAATAAAAATCAGTTTTCAACAAAATGTTTTCTTATAAAAACCATTGGAAGTTAAATATTTCTTGAAAAATTTTTGAAATCTTAAAAGCTCAACTCTCTGATCAATTTCGAATAAAAATTTATCAACTACTAATTTTTGACGAATTTTGGAAATTGCGAAGAAAAGAAGAAATGCAAAAAATATTTTCCGCGCATTTCTAAAATCGAATTTTTTTTTTTTTTAGAAGAAAGCTAATGATAAAAATGGATCATCCCGTAGAATGTACTTTCATTATTTTTAATTTAAATTAAAATTATCCAGTATGAATAGTTCAACAATGAAATCTCCATTTTAAAATCCTTTCTCTTTCCAAACTTTGCAAATATATTTTCGTCATTTCTCCTCTATCACAAGTCCATTCATCAATTTTTTTCGCTTAAAACTTTGGATAAAAATAATCATAACTGTTTTATCGTATGCTCAAGAAAATCGCAGTATTAAATCTCAAATTTTTTCAAAACTTACTGATCACAGAAACAAACATCGACAAACAAACAAAAAAAAAAACAAACAACAACAAATAAACAGCAAACAACAAACAACAAACAACAACAAATAGATTTTGCCCGCTAGCTGCATATCAAAAAGCTTACAATAAGAAGAAGAATAATTAAAATTTGGAATTCAATTTTAATTTAAAAAGCTAAAGTCGTAAATTTATGTAAAATTGTATCAGAAAATTTACAACAATTTTAATAAATTAAAATGTCAAAAAAAAAAACACAAAGAGTTCAAATTATAAGCTAACGTGGAATTGCATCAAAAAATATGTAACAATTTTAATAAATGGATGTCAAAATGTTAAAATTATAAATCAATACGAAATTACATCAAGAAATTTACAATAAACTTAATAAATGAACATGAAAGAAAGTAAAATTACAAGTTCACGTGAAGTTAAGTCAATAAATTTATAATAAATCTAATAAGTGGACGTAAAAAAGTTGAAAATGTATGTTACGTAACGCTACGTTGGAAAAGTTATAATAAATTTAATAAGTGAAGGTGAATGAATTAAAAGCGTAAGTTCACGTAAAATTACCTCAAAAAATCTATAACAAATTTAGTAAGGGAAATTTAAAATTTTCTTTGAAAGTTAAAAGAAAATTGGAATCAATCAGCTAGAAAAGTAAAATGACGTCAACGATGATTTCAACAATTTTTGAACTAATCATTTTCGCGCCATTTCGAGTTTCTTTTCCGGAATGTTCCATGCCGTATTACTCATACAGTTATTACTTTTCCACTGGGATTATAGCAGTAGCTATTTTGAAGTTTTAATTTCAATTTAAATTTCATTTACAGCTTCAATTTCGATTTCAAATTAGATTGTTTCATTTTAAAACTATTTTAAACTAAAGCCTCCTGCACTTTTTTTGCTCAAATAATACTTGAAAACTTAAAAGTTCATTGTGGAAAATTCTTTATTCAGTACAGCTATTATTTGATTTCAAAGCATTTCCCGATGGTATCAAATTTGAGATGATAAAATTAAAAAAAATACCAAAAATATTTTTTTTTGCATTTTTTTTTCCTTTTCTCATTTCCTTTTTTCATTGTACGATGAATTTAAGTTAAGTAACACGAATTTTTGTAGTTTTCTCGTCTTCCAGTATAACTTTACTCATAGTAATTGGATGAAGTATTTCAGTTATGCTTAAAATTATCAACTCCAATGTCATAAATTGTTATTGTTATTTTATATTATTATTATTATTATTATTATTATCATTATTATCATTATTATTATTATTATTATTATTATTATTATTATTATTATTATTATTATTATTATTATTATTATTATTATTATTATTATTATTATTATTATTATTATTATTATTATTATTATTA